TAATGTAATTCACTTGTTAATTAGTTTGCTTGTTTTAAAAAATAATCTACTCTAGAGGGATTCTGTTGTTATTGATTGATTCTTTGCAGAAGTCTCCCAGAAGTTAATTTTGGGCCACAAAAGCATGCATGCGCAGTAATGTTTGTTTATGTTGTTGCCGTTGAAACCATCTATAAGGGAGAATTAACTTATTATTATTATTTGCAATGCTTTATGGGATTGTGTGGTCACCTAAATTAAAAGGTAGCTCACTATGTGGAGTCTAATTAACATGGTTTAAGTGTCCAAGGTGTAGCAAACATGTGGACAGCATTTCTTTCCCCATTAATGGTAAATTAATATTGATATTGTATGGAAAATGTGGGGGGGGGGGGGGGGGGGGGGGGGGGGGGGGGGGGGGGGGCATGTGAACGTGGGTGGAATGTGTTATTATTTTAGCCTAATTCAGAAAGTAGAGCAAGTTAAAAAGTAAATTTTTGCAGCCCAGTTTGGTCTTTCTGTACTCGGAAACAGATCTGAGCTCTGAAAGTCACAGTGTGTTTTCATAGCATGTTGATCACTAATTTCAAAAGATCAAGGAGCATTTTATTCCTTGTGCTATGGCTATTTTCAAGTATTCTCAGCAAATAAATGATCACTGATGCAAGGACTGCAAACAATATGTCTCGCCATTTCACAATCAGTTTCCAGAAATGAAGCAAAATAAAATACAACTGGGAGAGTGTGGGCTACATTTCCAATCATACCTGGCATCGAGCTCATCTGCAGAGAATGCTGTTTGTTCTTAGATTAGACTGATTGAGCTTGACGGCTGTGTAGGTGACCTCCATTGATTCTATGTGATGTGTGTTTCAATGTGTTGAAAAGCTACAGCCCAATGAATTGTTCCCTTGGGAGAGAAATGTGAAGTCATTGGAGCTTATGGCTGAATAGGATTTCTTCTAACCTATGCAGAGAAGATTTGGGCCGATGCTTGTTTGTTTTCTATTTGTATAAGGATGAATACATGATCCCAACCTTCCTCCACAAAAAAAAAAAAACTACTAGGATGAGCATCTGCATTTATGTATTAGTTTAAAATGTATTAGGAAAAGTGTTTTGAGGTCTTAACATAGTAATGTGAAAGGAACCACACGAAAATATAGAACAGAAATAAAAATAGTTGGTGTTTTACTGACACTAGTGTTAATTTCAGCTGGATACTGCAGTGAATTGTATACATAGGTGTGTTTTTAGAGTTTTTCCAAGGAGCCTAAGTTGTTAAAATGCTACTGACCAATCCTACCACTGCAATTTTGCTATCCACTACATTGTCTGACAAGCTGTTACTCTCGCCTATTATAATGCTGCCTTCAAGTCCACTTGGGAACTTCCTTCTTATTAGCTAGGTGAATTGTTATTAATCAGTGTGCATTCAGCTCAAGTAAATATTAACAAAGAATTGCAATTAAAATTGGAAAGAGAGACAGAGAATAAATTAAGCACGACATGGTTAAAAAGCTAATTCAGTCAAAAATAGAAAACAAACCTACTTCCACTTAATAAAAAAACAAGAAATGATTTTCAGCAAATATATATTGTGGTCCCAGCAGACCAGATCCAAGAACATTTTGGATATTTGATTGATAACCCCTTTTTCAGAAGATTAATAGAAGTGATT